TACGGCTGAAGCTCGCTGAGGGTGATTCTCTGGCCCTTACAGAAGGGGCTGTGACTGAGGTTTATTTTCCTACAGAGAGCTCCTGGGCAGCGTTTAAAATACGGATGCCTGCTTCTAACACCATGAGATTTGTAGATATCCGGGAAACAGAGGGGAGAGCGGTGTTTGGGCTGGATGGTGTGTGGCAGGCCTAGACGAAATGCTCGCTGCAGGCCCAGCTGCAGCTGAGTCTTTCCCTCGATCTGCTCATTTTTCCTGCCTGTGTCACTTCCTTCCCGTGGCTCACACGCGCACCCGTAGCCGAGCTCGGAGCTCCCGGCTTTGGCGGCAGTGACACCCCCGGTGCGCGGTGGGGGAGGGGGCAGAGCTGAGCCTACAGGTTAGGACCAGCTTAAATCCCAACCTTTGTTTTTTCTTAATTTGTGGGAGAGAAGAGGTACCCCAAATATATGCCACATGGATCGGGTTTGTAGAGAAGCTCTGATTTTTCTTTTAAGTCTACAAACCGGGTCACTTGCTATTTCCTAAAAATTGGGCAGAACGGCTTTTTGTTACCGCTAAGACTATCCACAGTGAAGGACTCAAAATTAAACTTTTTCAGAAACTTTTTTTCAGAGCTTTAACATAGACACAGTTTGCCTTCCTAACTTGTGAAACTTATTGCTTCTGGATCCGCTGATCACTTGCACCAGCAATCAACTTTGCTATTGTGGTGGTAGATAACAAACACGCTTATTTGGTCACTTTTTTCTTTTTTAAACAAATGTGGCATCATGTCTTCTATTACCACGCTACATAAAATAGCATCCTGGTTTATAGGGGTTTACAGACTTCCTGTTTTTACCAATGTGCTGATGCTTTTACTCTGTTTGAACTTCACGATTTTTTTTCAAAACTGTTTCCATTTCTGCCACAGCAAATACAGTGACTTGCTCAGACCTGTGTAATAAACCACCTATTAGTTGAAATAAATGCTTTATGCAGAGGAATAGCTTTCTCTGTGAGCAGCAGTTCCCTTTTATCGATGTTATAAAAATCCTTGAGTGTAGTTTTTAAAACATGAAAAGCATTTCCTGGACAACATCTTTGCCGCACAAAGCAGAACTGTGTTTCCCAGACCTACTGGAGACCTAGCAAAACAGGGTCTCTCAGTGCGCTTCAAAATTGCCTAGTTTTCATTTGTAATAACTTTCGCATTGTGTGATTAATGTGATGCTGCTACACGTGCTTCTTTAAAGTCTATCTATGGAAGTCCTCTATTTTGATGGAAATAAAGAGGTATTCACGCTTCTCGACATTAAATCCATCACAGTGCTGTCCTAAACGGAAGCATTTTTTCCATACACGAGTTCAGATCAATATTTGGCATTCATTTATCTTTTTAAAACATAAAATACTCCTTCGTTTCTTACCTCACCAACACAGGGATGAATTACAGAGTGTATGTTTTGCTGCTAGGAAGCCAATAGCTTAGTGTAAGACTATTAAAAAATGTATAATCACGTCCGATTCGAATTCACCTGAAGTTGTTCCATCAGCCTTTGACAGTACATTAAATGTTCCTTTTTGCAGGGATGCAAGTAAGATTTCAGCATTAGCCCTTGTCCACAGAGGAAACCGAGTCTGCAGTGAGTGAGATACAGACCTCGCAGCGCACTGGCTGGGGTTTAGGTGCTCGCCAGATGCTGCCCTTAAGAGTTCAATGTCTTAGCATGTTGTAAATTCACAAGTTGCCTTAGCTAATAAATAAAGTCACTATGCAGATGAGCTACATTCTTTGTTAAGAGGTGCATAATTGGTTGGACGCCTGTCCTCTTTGCCCGCTTCCTCACACAAACAAGAGGCGGCAAACCCGCTGACTTTGTGCACAGCCTGGGCCTTGGGATCAAACACCTGTAGCCTGCGATTACGTTGCAACTGTTGATCCTTATTTTCAAGTGATGAGCCATACCGGTTAGATGCAAATTCTTATTTATAGATGTATTCTTTGATTGACTTGATTTCTTGTCATGAGTGCTTAGTTATAAACTGCTTTCATAGCTGTTTTGCTTCTTGCCCAAAGGAACTCTGCCAAGACAAGCTCTTCTTCATCCTCCTGGTATCTGGCCAAACCCAAACTGCACTGTAGTGGAAAACTTGTATCCCAGCTCTTCACAGCATGTTTTGGGTGGTAGGCTCTCCAGGGATATGCCAGTCCATAATTTGTAATGTTTTGTTGTGCAAAGTTATAGTCTTTGTCTGCCAGGTGACTCAAAGGCTGTGCTTAATATCAAACAAGAGTAAAGAATAAGAGTACGTTGGAGACAATCTAGTAAGGTAAAAGGTTAAACATTCAAATGTAAAGTTGGAAACAATTTAAAAAAAAAAAAAAAAGTTGTGCTGTTAGCTACCTGGAACTTTAGCTTCATTCAGAACTGTTTTGTCACATTTTCCTCCCACAAGGGGTTACTTAGTGCCGAGATAGATCCTAGCAATTATTTCCTTTGGCTGATGTGCTTTTCAAAAAGCAACCTCTTGCTTTGGTTGTGTTACTTACACCCCTCGCTTCTTTCGCATGCAGTTGGAATTCCAAGGAGTACTCTCCCTTCTCCACTACCACAATGTAGTTATTGTCTCATTTGGCTTGTCTTGGACAGCAGAGATTTGGTGGGTTTTGACTTTTTTTTTTTTTAAGAAACTTTATTTTCTCTGCTCTGCTTTCCTTTTTTAAGAGTTTTACTCTAATTAACGCCTTCTGCTAATGCATTGGGGGATTTCTTTCCATTCCCCTCCATAGTCTGGCCTAGGCTTGATGTTTCTGTTTTTCTGGTAGTACATACTGAAGTCCATAGTGGAAGTGCCTCTGCTCTAGTGTTCAGTACTCTCAGAAAGCTAAAGCAGACCTTCTCGGTAGAAACTATTGGTTGTACCAAAGATAATGTTAGCGTGACATCTGTTCCGACTGGGACTTTTTTAGATGTTGCCCCCTTGCAAATAGGTATATTTTCCCCCCTCTTTTGCTTCTAAATTATGGTAGCATTCACTCCCTGTGTGCTTGAGAAGCTGTATGTGTCCCATATCTGTTGTCCTTAAGCATTGCGAAAATCTAGTTTGTTATTGAGGCGTTGATTAATGATGAACCCAGTCTTCTGCATAAAACATAAGCTAGCTTCTTCGAGAGACACTCATGAACAAATGCATAACATTACATTGAAGAAACAAATAGTCCCAATGAGTCCCTTTTACAGAGAAATACAGATGCGACACAGTCCATCCTTTAATGTACAGCAGCTGTTCCCAGGACACCACTTCCAAATGTAAGCCATTACCCATCCAAACCAGTGCCATGAATTGAGAACGAGTGTGTAGCCATGCTGGATTTTTAAAATCAAGTTTCAGTTACTTACAAATCAGCTTCAGAAATGCTCATTTCAATTCAAACACATGGAAGTGACATGTTTGTGAACTTTGGGAAGAAAGTAGGAATCTAGCACATGGAGCACTGCACACCTGATACACTGTCATATGAGTAGAGTTGTGATAACCTCGTCTATGCGTTACTAGTTCACATTGCTTCCAAAAGTTCCAATTGACCAAAAAAAAAAAACAAACCAAGCTTTACATCCAAACCTGGTGGTCAAGCCCAGCCAGACTTTTTTAGAAAGGGCAGATTCTTCTTCTGGGCATGTTCAGAGCTGATCTAATCACTGCTTCAAATTTCATGCCTAAATTATGCCTCAGTATCAGGAAGGATTTAACTGGACGTATTATGTGCCAAGGAAACAACGCTTTATCCCCAAAAACTCTTGAGTCTTGATACGTGAGACAACAGCCCAGCAATGCAGTAGGCATGAGTGTGCCGACAGCAGATCCTCTGAGCGATAGCATCTGATGCTGCTCTGTTACATTGGTGGCGCAGCACCTAGGAGCAAAGCGGCTAGTGAGGTCCCGTTTTGAACCACACTTCACGTGTCAACTTTTTCTACCTTTTGCAATATTGAGGAATTTAGGATTGTTATGCTTGCAAAAGCAAAGGATTCTTTTCAGTAGCTTTTAGACACCTTACTTTATGCTAGCATCCATCACAGCCCAGCTACTATGCATTTCTCTCCTTTTACGTCTTTTTTTTTTTTTCCTCTAGACTTCATACAAAATTCTGCTAAATATTACTTCTCTCCTCAAAACTAACAAGCAATGGAAGAACACTTTAAATTGGTTACATCAGGAATCTTAGCTTCAGAAAGTAATTTTCAGTCAGTAGTATGTATAAGAAAAATTTCAGTGTGTGTTTTTTATTTTCCTGCATTTGCAAGAAGCCTAGAATTGAATCTGCTGCATTATACTCTGCCAGCAGACAGTGTTCTTAATGCTGTGTGATTTGAATCTGTTCAGTAGATCTTGAAGTCTCATAAAATGGTTTGAACTTTGCTCCATCAGCTTGTTTTCGGGGAAGAGAGGAATGTGTTGGGGAAATCAGTGCAAGTGGATTTGTATTCAGAGAGATTCTGAGATGACTCTGTCCAGATTTTCATTTGTCTTTCTACTGACCGTGGTTTGTTCTGCTAGCAAGCAAGGATTCTAAGTTAACAGGATATAAAATTGGAAAGAACAGATTCTTACCAGGTTTTCCTTGGCAGAAACACATCAGTTTGCCCTTTCTAAATGACCTATGATGATCTAGCAAATCTGTCCAAGTTGTACTGTTTGTTGTGAAGCCATTTTAACAGAACTAGGGGCTGGGGATATTTACTCTGCACCTTACTATGGCCACATCCTTCTGTGACATTGGACAAGTGATTTAAATTTTATCCCTCTGTTTACTACTTCATGATATTAGGTTAAGTTTGGGCTTTTTATGACTAAATGAAATTACAGTGTATTTGCAAAGATCCTAAAAAGGATTGTCTTTCTGTGAGCCAGCAGAAAACAAGTGCAGAAGTGTTATGGTTGATACTTACCCAGGCAACTTACTACTAAAATTCTTGTGCATCATAGATGAACAAGAGGCCTTGAAATCCATCATGAAGGACCTGGTAGCACTCCAGATGAGCCGACGTCACAGACTGACTGGATATGATACCATGAAGAATAAAGACACAGCTCACTCCAACAAACAGGTAATAGGCTGTTTAGTGAGTGCTTGAAATCGTTACCTGAAGGCAGAAGGGACAGAGTAGGTTGACAGCGGGTCTGCTGCCCATGTTCTGTCTTGTGCTTCTGACTGCTGAAGCATCCCAGGTGGATTAGCACCCTATTCTTGCTCAGGCTGTGTTGCCAGCGTGGTAGCTTTTTTATTTACTTACCTTTATGGACTGGGGGGGGTGCAGTTTTGATAATTTGCAGCATTTTAGTGTTCTGCCTTCCTCCCACACATGCTCTTGATGGGGTTTGGTCTGTGTAGGTTAGCTAAAAAGTTTACCAAATGATTTTCTGGTTTCACAGTCACATTATCATTTTTTTAAAATGACTTTATTATTTTTAAAGAAAAAACACAATGCCAGCAGTCCACCCCTCTTGGGCAGCCCTGCAATAACAAACCAGTGTGCCTCTGCAGTGGAAGAAAAAAAAATTCCGGTAAGAAAACTAGCTTCCTATTCAATATTAGCAATTATAAATTAGGAGCGTGTTTTAAAGTTGTGTGCAGTGACCTTTATAGAATTCATTTAAGCAGGTGTGGGACCCAGGAAAGCTTTTCTTTACTGACTCTGTCATGATATAGCAGTATGATGCACTTTTCATTGTAATGGAAATAATACTTAAATTCAAAGGGAAGCAGGGAACTGAGAAGCATAAGGATGAAAAGGAAACAAGTATTTCCATCTCTCATGCAAAAGAAGGCCACTGCAGTTTAAAGCTGCATAAAGCAGTCTGTTGGATAATGAACTAATGGTCTCATCTTCACGTGATTCAGACCGCACGTGAATACAGAATGAAGATCTCGATAAAAGGTAGTCAAACTGAAGTTGATCCAAGAACAGTGAAGGGGATTGTCTGAAAGGACTGGCTTTAGTGAAGCCTTAATAAACCTTGCTTCAGTGAAAAAAGGAGCAGCTGTTTACAGGTGTCTGAACAGAGGCAGCGTCCTTAACAGGGAGGATTGTCTGGAGTTACCCAGTCATATGGCACATGAAGAGGGGAATGCAACTAACCTTCATTTGGGTATGGGGATGTGAAGTCCATTTTCTAAAAGAAATACTTTTCCCAAGGTAATAAGTGGCAGGGTCAATACTTTAAAACATCTCTAGGTTCATTTTACATTGCTAGAGACTTTTTTTTTTTTTTTAGAGAAAACTATTGCATTGACTTTCTGGTAGAAATAAAGTACAGAGTAATATCGCTCTGTCAGTGTATGCTGCATATCATTTGAATGAAATACTTGAATGCAAAAGCAACAATTTCAGTCAAGAATTCCTTGTCCATTACTGTCTTCAAAAAATAAATCTAGTTACTTAGAGTTAGACTAATGTTAACAGAAGTTGTCTATATCAGTAAAATAACTCTTTTCAATTCTATCCTTATTACAGGCTTAAGCTTTTTGGAGCAGGCTTTAAAGTTCATGTCTGTCTCTTTCTTATGCTTTGTCTGCTCGTAATCTACTTGTTCAGCTGAGATATGGGTTTTCCTTGAATGTGCTGGACAAATCCATAGATGGAGTAGTACAAAATCCTTTCCAAATCACTTTGAAACGTAAATTCAGAGATGTCTTAAATCAAAATCTCTAATCATTATTTATGACACTGCATCACAGAACTGCAACGCTAAAGCACCAAACTTGGATTTGCTTTCTTACTCATCTCTTAGGACAGTTTATGTGAGTTGCTTTAAAAAGTGGTTTATATAGGTGATAGGTTCACTGCTTTCAAAGGAAACAAAAAGCAATAGATGTGTAACTCCTCTAGGTTCTCTCTGAAATTTGAACACTAAGATCACTTTAAATACCTTTCCTTAGGTTTTTGAAAAATAGACACAAATGGCCAGTGTCTGATCCTTTTGGAAAAATCATCAGGAGATAGATGCCGAAATCCCCCCCACCCTTCACTTTGTTCCAAATTACAGGTCTGAAAGCATGCAGTGCTGTTGAGAAAGATGCTTCAGTTTGCTTGGGTACCAGTAAGTTGAAGAAAGGTTTCCAAAGAGCCCTGAAGATCTTCTAGTGTTGTCTAATTTTAACTAGTGAGAGCTTTGTCACTTAGCTGTTTCATGACCTAAAACGCATCTTGAGATCAGAAATTGAATCTGAAAAATTACTTTTAATTCAATTTAATCCAAACAGTCCTGTTTAGTTCCCTTAGTCTGGGCTACTTAGAACAGTATAAAGGGATCATTGCTGCATCCATTCTGCCTAAGAAACAACTGTTTCGTCAGTAGTTGGCTGCTGGACATCTTTTATAGTTTGTTATTCCTATGCTTTTTGTTGCATTTTTCCGTTGCTGTTCTGTTAAAATGAGTTCTCTAGAATTTGTTTCATTTCAGTGTCTTTCTAGAGTAAGTTCTTTCTCTTCCCACATCTGAGAAAGCTTCTCTGGTAAAGTCATGTGTAAATTACCCACCTGCAGATGATTGTTGCTCTGATTGGGACGCTCATTTGTCATGATTGGTTCAGTACCTACAGTATTGCTACAGGAATGCTGTGTACTCGCAGTGATTGCATGGGTCCCTTTGAACTGCATTCTTGACCGCTAGGCCTGCCAGATACTTCCTCTAGCTAAAGAGCATTTCCTGGCCACATTTTTTTGAAGTTCCTAGATGTATGATTGCCTATTGTCTAAGGCTTTCACAGATGGTTTAATCTATTCCAATCACATAAATTGTGCAGCAGAAATTATGGAGTCTTATCAGAGCAGATTTTGCCTTTTTATTTTTATCTTTGTGACCTAAATTGGGATTTGAACTTTGATCTCCAGAGTTGAAAGTTCAGCATGTTGACTCTTCCCTGCCACATAACATCTTCTGAGTTTACAGTGAAACGCACAGGTTGTGCAGTCAGTGCTTTTAACCATCTGCCAGATATGGGTGATGACCCCTTTGCACTTTAAAAGATGACACATAGTTAACTTGTTTCTAACTTCATAGTTTGAGTTTCAGGGGCTGCATTTTTGCAAAAAACAGAGATTTAGCCTGTGTCCGAAGAATAAAGAATGTAGCACATTCCCTGTATCTCTCTTTTTTGCCATAGAAGAAAACATGCTTGCTTTGAGAATGCACAAAGAAAATTAGCTTCGGTTCAGATGAATATGCAGTTAGGTTCAATTTCAGATTTTTGCCATGCAGTGTTAAAGATGGATTAATTTTCCTTATAGTTCAAGTATATTTCAGTGTCCTCTGTTTAAGTGACAATTAATAAAAATTACAACTTAGTTTTTACCCCTTTCCTTCTCTTTCTTCATTAGCAATTTCTCCATTCCTCATGGTGCTGGTTCACATGTCAGCCACTCGTTTTCCACAGTCTGCTTCAGCTTCCACCGAGAAAGTTATCGGACTTGTTGTGTTCTGGGTAGCCTTTTGAGGAGTTGATCACAAATTGACCTGCTTTGTGTTTGGGCCTTAAAATCATTATATGATCCATTTGTGTGCTTTTATGTATGCCAGAGTTTCATTGTGAATTAACCTTTTGTTCGTCCTTCTGCAGAATGATGTAAGGATAAAGTTTGAACATAACGGGGAAAGACGGTAAGTCTCCACTACTTTGATTCTTTGCTTAGTAGAATAATTTAGTCATTAGTAATTTAGGTTAAATGTTTTGTTGGCTTCACTTGCCTTGTTCCTGAATGAAAAATGCACAGTAAAGGCAACAGCAAACAGGTCATATACAACTTGGTTATTTTTAAAAATCAGTGTGTCATATAACACTTTCGTGTGATTTATTTTCAAAGTATCTATTTGTAAGTGAATTGCAGTAATACTAAAAAGCTGTTCACCCTGAAATAAATTCAGCCTGATAGTCTTATTGCAGATACGTTCCCTATTTGTTTCATTTAACTAAAACCAAATGGAACTGATCAAATTAGTGTCATTCTTTTCTAGTTTCTCACTTCCTGATGACCTGTCACTGTCCTGCTGTGACTGAGCAACAGATACAGCAAGGGAAGATTTTTTCATTGGTCTAAAAGTTTCCTTGTTATTTCCTCTGATACTGAGTTTTGAGACACTTTCTTTCACAAGAAACAGAATTAACTGAATTAGCATTTTCAGTGTTTACAGTATTGTTTCCAATGGGTAAAATTGCCTAGACATTGCAAAGTAGGTCTCAAAAAGCCCCTTCCCTGCCATCTAATTGAGAGGAACTCTCGATACTGTTACGGCTGTTCGGTGGCTGTGTGAATGTACAGAAAGGCTCCGGACTTGTTTGCAGCCCCTTTGAGGCTGCTCTTGAGCTCTCGCTGAGGGGGAAAAAAGAAATCTTGATGCTAGGTTCCAGTCCTTTTTCTGAAGAAACTAATTGGATTGTACGCATGAATTTATACACTGCTCTTCACAGACATCCTGTGGGAATCCTTTGGTTTCTCCCATCCCAGACAGTACTTTCAACATGAAGTAGTTCACGGTTTCATGATAAAATGCAGTTTTAGTTCTGATAGTACAACAGTGGAAGTTGTATGTAGTGATCCTAACAGCCTGTTACTAGCAAAGGTTACTGGCTGAGCTGCTTAAGCTCCTCCTCGAGTATCCTTTGTCAAATTAAGGGATTTTTGTTAAAACAGAAAAGCAGAGGCATTCTTTGTTGATAAAGCAGGTGGCAGAGGATAATTTTTAAAGACTTCCTCAAAAATTGAGCGGTTTCATTCACCAAAGTACTACATGGTGAATTCTGTCGATAAAAAAAAACCCTGACTTTTGGGCCTCGAGGAGAAAATTTAAAAGTGATCATAGCTGGGATCTACTGCTGCCTTTGTCAGCCAGATCTTCTCAGCACTCTGCTGTGTCACAGGCATTGTGTGGACTACAGCAGAGCCACTGTGACACATGTCACAATTTCGTGTGATACCATGTTAGGACAAGGTAGCTCGGAAGCAAAATCTTGTCACCACAGTCCGATCATCTTGCATGTCTTCTGCCTGAGTGCGTTTAAGATGGCACAGAGCTCAGGGGAGAAGAAAGGGTTTTTTTTCTGAAGTAACATTAAAATGAAAAGCTTGATTGTGTGTTAGTCTAATTATGCAGTTACGCTTGCCTGAATTCCCCATTCCCAAAGTGGTATGCAGTTACAGACAGCAAGCTTGCACCGAGAATGTAAGTGTGTGTGCTTGGTTTCAGAGGAGCTGCCAGATCTAACCACAAATATTTAAGGTGGTCAGGCAGGAATGGGCTCCTTACAGCCTGCAGTCCATGATTTTGTGTTAGAAGAGTGCACAGAGTTTTTAAGCTAATAGAATTTGTGGCACCTGAGAACAGCTCTGCTTTTTAATGCATTGAGTGTAGAATGGAAGCCTTTATAAGGGACTTCGGCTCAACTGAGAACTAAATTACATTTGTACGGTGCCAGAGTACTATAATTTCATGGATGGGTTTCTTAGTAATATGTAGAAAATGTTATTGTGGGCTGCTTTTTAACAAGGACAATTATTTCTAAATAGCTAAACGTTGTAGGTCTGGTAGCAAGATGAACCCTTCCTGGGAAGGGGCTAAGGAAGCCAGCTAACACTAGAGCTATTTAAAACAAAAGCTGCATATCATGAAAGGATACTGAGTGCTGATGAAGCAGGCTGGATGGACGTTTTGGAAACTAAGCCTTCTATCCAAAGCACGGGTTCAGCACGAACTTGGGTGAGCTCTTCCCCAGAGGTGATTTGGGGTTTCACTGAGCTCAGAGAGTTGCCCCTGTGAGCAAGATAGGTCTTGAGTTTCTGTGGTCCATTCAGGTCTCCCTGTTTCTGCCTGATGGCAGAATCGTTACATGGTGCTAATAATCAAGCTTTTTGGGGCAGTATTTCAGCTGTGCCGAAGCAGAGCTGTTTCAAGGTGCAGCGGTGGGCTAAGCAGCTATCGAAGTGGTCTGGTAGCTTTCAGAACAGTGGTGGCTGCCAGCTGCGTCCCAGAGCCGTTTGTTGAGCTTGCCGGTGGTGGAGACGCGGCCCGGTCGCGCGGCCCATGGAGGCAGATGGCGGGGAGTCTGGCTGCAGGAGCCCGGAGGCAGGAGCAGCCAGCCATCTGGGCTCTGTGCAGTGGGAGATGAAAAGTGGCTTTCTGAGCAGTAGACGTTTTTGGTTTGCTAGAATAGTGGGTTGTAAGCTATAGTTCACATTTGAATCCTCCAGTTCTTGACCCAGGATATTTAACTCACTGATTTTTCTGAAGAGGGTGAAAATTGTCCTTTTCCACGGCTGTCAAGGTGGCGACTGAGTACTTGGCAACTTCCTGCAGAAGAACATTACACCAAAATAAACGGTTTTAGATGCTTTGCTGGAACTTCATATTACTACTTTGCCTAAAGCATTAGAGTTTCTATTCCAAGGTAGGCAAAACAGTAATGAAAACAAAGAAAAGTATACAGTCATTTTCTGAAAAGCATGGATGTGCTGCAGGATTCTGCAGGGTTCCCCTAGGATGTCTGTGCCTGTTGCCATTTTGGATTTCTTGAGGCCGTTTGTGTATGTGAGTCTAAAACTCCTGCCATTCAACTGGCGAGGAAACAGCCGAGTGCTAGAACTGGGGGTTTACCGTGTCACAAGGTCAGGGCTCAGGGAAAGCAATCAGAATAATTTACATCCGTGCATATTTTGTGTGTCAGCCAGTTGGTAAAGGTGCCCAGAGATGCATTACATATGAAAAATACTCGTGAGGGAGGAAGCATGAGAGTATGAGACTGATCCGTCTCATATGAATATTCTGAATTATTGCAAGTCAGCTGTGCTGCTGCTATTACAGCTGAAGCAGTGTTTAAGTTTTGATCGATTTGGCCTCTGTAATTAAAAAAAGGCAATTTTTTTTAAATAAAGCAAGTCATGAGTGACAAACGTTTACACAGTTACAGTTAGATTTGACTTCAAATCTTGAGAAAATGCCCCTGCTGCGTTGCACAGATTTGAAGGATAACTGCAGAGACGGTGTAGTGAGTCTGTGATTGAGATGTTTGAGTTGAGCATGCAGAGGGCTAACGTGGAGCTAACGTCACAGACCACCTTTGGGAAAGAGGGTTTTCAGATTGCATTGTGTCCTCCTGCTGATGCCTTCCCTCAGGAGTTCAGGACTAATTTTGCTGTGGGAATGTTTGTTGAAACCTTTCAACTGGAATGCATTTTGGAAATTTTTAGGGAGTGAGTTTTGAGTTCAGATATTGGAGTACTTAAACCAAATACTTTTTTTTTATTCTTTGGGCCTTCTGCAGCTCTTAATTCAGCTCTCACTCAATGTATTTGTTTGTGTTTTGTGCCTGAGGCAGTATTCTTTAAGCTACAGTGCGTAGAAGATTTGTATCCTGTTATGTGGAAGAAATTTATTCAGTAAAGGATACTTTTCTATCCAGGGACGAAGGCGTTCTGTTTGAAATCTTCAGTTGAATATTGCATTTTGATAAACCATTTGGAAATGGACCAGAGATCAAGAATTCCTTGCTAAAATAATTAATATAAATTCAAATTAGAAAGGTTCAATACCTGCTTGAGGATGAAAGGAGAACATTCGAATGTGGTTTTTAATGGTTCAGTCATCTAATTTGATTGCATTGTCAAGTATATGTCTGAATTCAATCAGTGATTCTCTTTCATTCCAGAATTATCCCATTTGTCCGTCCCGTGCGCTATGAAGACGTGCAACAGAAAGTGAAAACAGCCTTTGGCCAGCCACTGGACCTCCACTACATGAACAATGAGGTACAGAGCATTGTTGTCAGTGCTCAGAACATGTAACGCCCTCTCTGGATGACACCTCCTTTTCCCATCCCAAATTCTGTACCCTGAAATCTAATTTTCAGTTCTTTCCTCTAATGCAAACCATAGTTGAATCACTCTGCTCCAGAAGAGAACATGCTGATACTGACAAAACATCGCACTGATGTGTGCGTTGTACGAACATCACCATCTTGTTTCCTTGTACTGGTGGTGTTTGGGAGAATCTCTTGGGGAAGTAAAAAAAGGTATTTGAAGTATTTTGACTGTTGAAAGCAACTGTTGCAGGCTAACAGCTATACAGCCTGAGGACTGCAGACAGTCCCGGTCATTTCTTCAGCTGCCCGATAGCAGTCAGTATTGTTCGTGGTGTGTGCTGACCAGCAGCAGCCATCCAGCCATTTGTAACACATTTACCTCCTGCTGGCTGCAACACTTTGTGCTTATTGCCCAGCTCTTCGGCGACCAAGAGGAGTAAGGGAACAGGGGAGGCTCTCTGGTATGAGACGCTGGTGTGGGTGTGTCTGGTATGAGACAGTGACATGGGGAATAGCATTTGTCGCTGAGGAACTGGGTAGTCCGTGTTAATAACCTAAAGTGTTTTGTTGGCTTTCTCCCTCTGGATGCCCTGGCTTTTCCTTGGGTTTTTTTTGTTGCGGTGTTGCCCTCCCACCATTCGGGACTGCACCCCTAATGAGAGAGATGCAAAATCCCATTCACCTGTAGGAGTTGGACAAAAAGGAAAGGGATTCTTCAATGTTAATAATTGAATTGTGAGTGGGCTGTAGAATAGAGGGTGTCTGAGCATGATTTCATGGGGTCTTACTAGCAAGTTTTACATTCTTCTTTGATTCCCTCTTTCGAAGTCTTAATCTTTTTTAAACTAGTCTCTATCTGAAACCCAATTTTCACTTGACCGTTAGGTCTGGATCCGTAAGTATTCTGAGACAGTGCTCTCGTTAGGGAGTCAGGGGCCTGTCTCTGACATGTTCTTTGCAAACAACAAATTCAGGTAGCAATTAATATTTTTGTGGATGGTGCCTTAGAGAAATTTGCATAGGGTCAGCCATTTATCTGATGGTGTGGGAGGAAAACCTTGTTAAAAAGGACAATAAGACAGTATTGTAAAGAAAATTTGTGGAGTAATTGTGGAATGTAATATTTTGTATTCTGATTTTTTTTTTCTTTTTCTAATGTTTGTTTGATTACCTATTGTGGAAGTAGACTTATTTTTCTGTCTTTTCTAATGATTTTTTTTTCTGTTCTTTATTTTGCAGCTATCTATTCCTTTGAAAAATCAAGATGACCTGGATAAAGCAGTAGATCTCTTAGACCGAAGCTCTAATGTGAAAAGCCTTAGAATATTGTTGCTGTCTCAGGACAGAAACCATGTAGGTAACAATTTCCGTAACTGCAGCAAAATGAAGGTTTTTACCCTTCGGTCTCTGAAACGTGATGGTAGCCTTAGCCAAGAGTAACAGGGATTAGTAAAATCACTGTTCACAGACACGAATGCATATGTTTATCCTCTTTGCTTTGACTCAGCTATAGGTATCTCTTCCCCCCCCCCCCCCCCCCCCCCCCCCCCCCCCCCCCCAGCTTCAGCAGCTGTTCATGGTCTAAAACATTGCAGCTTTTTAAGCTGTAATATGAAGGCCATTTTATATCACGTACCCAATGACTGCATTCAGAAAACACTTAGTGAGTTTGGTTCGCAGAGAACTTTTTTTACATTTGATTAATAGCACAGTGTTGAAAGTGCGTGTCATTATCTTGCCTTTAAGAAAGCACAGGTTGTCCTTGAAGACAAGCTGGTAGCACTTTTCCTGGGTGAGAAGCCTGAGGACAGCTCCCAATGACTTTTCATTTCTCTAGCCTAATGCATTGAATCCAGCCTTACTCTGTAGAAACTAAGTTGCTTTTAGCTAATAATGGTGTATTCACACCTAAGATGAATTTGATTGTGTCTTGGTTCACTTTCCTATACCACAGGTGGCTGTGGCAGTCAGCAGGAAAGATCATAACATGAGAGGCAAGTCTTTAAGTCAGGCTCCCAAAGCTGCCTGTTTTGGGCAGTGAATTGAACTGCAAGCTGAAGGAGGACAAGAAGAGTCAGAAGTTTCCCTTTTTCCTGATCTGTGACTGGAGAACTTTGTTCACTCAACCAATGTCTTTTTTTTTTTCAGAATTAAGGTCATATAACTTTTCAAGCCAGAGACCTTGATAGCTTAGATATTTTATTGCGAATTACCAAACTCTTTTGAAGAGTATGACACAAAAAGCTACTCTCTCTTGAAAGCTCTGTTGGTAGTAGCTTGTCAATCTTCAATGTTCATCCCTATTCAAATTCTGCAGGCTGTGAGCTCAAACTCTTGAAATAATCACACCTGTAATTCTTGGAACTGTCAGGAGAACTTAAATATCTTGCTATTTTTGAATTTGATAATCCATGTTAATAGAAATACAAAGACCTTCAGGAGTGTTAACAGCCCTTTCCCAAATGACTGGATGCCAAAAGCTGAAAAGGTGTAGGAGGGGATGATGCTGTTCCTTGTCCTATGCCCTTTCCCTAAGCATTTGTTACTGGCTGTTCTGAAGACAATACTTGGCAAGAAGGTGTTTGGTCTGACCTAGCGTAGTCAGACTTTGTTCTGGATTGTCAGGAAATAGTCTGTAAAAGGTGGCTTCAACTTTTGGTGTAACACAGTGAAACAACCCTCTTTTACAGCCCTCTGTTAATTTCAGTGTCTTCAGACTGCAAACCAGATGGTGAATGATAGTATCTAAACTTTACGTAAGCCACCTGCAGTAAACACTTAGTAAATCTCATCCCTACACCAGCCAGTAGCCAGTACTGTGGTGTTGTCCTTTTATTAGCTGTTTTTTCCTCTTTTGCTCAAAGCAGAAACAAACAGCGAAGTCTTCAGTAAGTGCCACTGTTTCCCCCCTCTCCTCCGACTTCCTTTTCAGCTCTGAGTTGCCTGGCAGGAGAGCCCTACATGTGATAAAGCAAAAGCCCACAAGTCTGAAGGAGGTTTCTTGGCTGCATGATCTCATCCCACTGAGGGAGCGGGAAGCATTATTTTTCCTGAAGTACAGGATGCAGATTTTGTTTTGGTTGTGCTCTTTTCTTTTTCTGGGGATGGAAAGGTAATGCCGTGACTTTGGCACAAATATGTATATAAACCAAATTAACTTTACAGCAGTAGCTGTGTGACTAGTAGCGAGAGACTGTGTTTGTGAATAGCTTTTATATTAATTTTCTTGTGCCTCTTTCTGTGGCTCATTTGTGCTTTCTTCTATCAAGCAACTCACTTCTGTTGTCAGTCCTTTCTTTGTGTTTAGAAATGGGAATGGGAAGAACTGGTTAAGTTGAACCCCTAGAGTACTAAAGCATAAATAGTGTGTCCACATAAATGGTGTGACCTCTGCACCCTTTATTCAGCTCCCATGAATCTGTTCATGGTAGAGTTTAGGTAATTTAAATCAGGCTGCCTCCTTACTCTGTGCCAGCGTAAGTGCTTATTAAATGGGCAGCTGTTCTTTACTTTTTTGATTGTGTGGCCTCCCACCTTGTTTGCCAGTCATATTCAAATAATTTTCAGAAGACAGAATTAATTTCCTTGGGGTCTCTTTGGTTATGTTCATCTCAAGAAAATAAGTGCTTTACAAGCATTGGTTACATTCTGTAACACACAAGAGGAAAGGACTATTACATCCTCTTGTCAAACTAGGTACTTTAGGACAACAAAATTAAAAAATTAAAGGTGTCCACTAGTGTTGAGCATCTGCTTTGACTTGCATAAGATGCCATGCGCGTGGGGGAGGTTAGAAGTTCACAGTATTTCATATGTTCAAACCTTGGTGCACCATCCTCAGATTGCTGGTGTCCTGTGCAGTCCTGTGTTAAGAGCCCATGTTCCCTGTATCATCCGCGGAAGGAGCACAGAGGTGTTAGCTGCCCGCAGCTGCAGTCTGAATAGTTCCAAGTGAGCACCCTCTGGAGTCCAAAGTGGCCTCGCAGTTTCTGGTGGCAGAGCTGTGCGTAACTGCTGCACAAGGAGGGCAACAGTTCTCCTGGGCAGCATCCTACTGCCCTAAATTGCAAAACCATCCTGCAGTTCTGCTTCCTACAAAGCGTGCTGGAGTTACCCCTTCCATCTTCCTCAACAAATCGGGGAGAAGTCCTTGGACACGTCTCCTGTCATTCCTCTTCTTGCTTTGAATGAGATGAAGGCACTGTGGAAAAATGATCTTCAATTAGATTATGCCTAGATAAGTTCAGGGAAGGATGAATAAAAGCAACACAGGCAGCATTCATCTTGGCATCTCCAAACTCTTTGTGCTCTTAAACTCTCTAGAATTTATTTTCACTTAGATGGTGTGAATTGTCAGTTTACTTTTTAAAGATTGTGGAGAGTCAAGTTGCTATCTAACTGCTTCTGAAAGAGTGCAAGATTCATAATTTATCTCTGCTGGCCAAGATGACTGATAGAAGTCGTAGGTTCTTCCCAGGTCTGCTCTCAGTGAGCGGTATGAGCCCCCTCTTGTTGGTTTTGTAGGTAGCTGCTAATGGAAGACAAACATTGAGACTTGCAAATCCTGCGTTTGATTTGAGGCTGGAGGGTAGAATGCTCTAGTTGTTCGACTCCTGTTTTACACCATAATTGTAAAGCTTGCTCTTTTGCTGCCTTTATTGTTTGTGTTCTATGAAGTCAATAAGATAGCAGGCTCTAGAGCTGTTTCTCAGCTACTTTCTTGCTACTAAACATAATGATATTTTTGAAACTGTGGTCAGACTGCTTGAGCTCCTCAGTCTCATTTTCTTTTTTTCATTTTACCCAACAGACCAGTTCTTCACCCCATTCTGGATTGCCCAAACAAGTCAGGATTAAAACTTCCCAATCTGTGGGGGATGTGAACACACCCTATCAGCAGCCAGAACCCAGAAGTAGGCATCTGTCTGTCAGTGAGTATTTTTGCCACTTCTGCTTGTCTTTGTTGTGTGAAACATATCTTTTGGGCACTAGTGTTTATGGTATAGCGTTTATGAAAGCCATGAGAAATTGAAAGGTTATTCTAGGACAAGGCAGTTCATTTTCAAAAGCTCTTAATATGTTCACAATAGAATGTTTCAAAGTTCCTTACTAAGTTGTTGAACAGCTGAGGAGCTGCTAAAGGGGATGTCCTAAAGCCAGATTCGTTGAGGTTAGAAATTTGGAAAGCTTACGTGAGTCCATTAAGCTTTTTATTTAGATTGGCAATTTCAGTTTATGAAACCTAGATTTGATTATTTTCTTTTTTTTTTTTTTTTGTTGGGCTTTGGAATCTGTCCTCACTCCTGTAATCAAGCATTTTACTAGTAGCACAGGAATTGCCACTGCATATCTACCCAGTGCCCTACATACTGAGTTCTCTAACCTTGCACTCTCGTAATTACCAGATGAGTAGAGCACAAGGTTAACATCATAGGTGACTGGCACAGCTGTGCAAAAGATAATAAGAAAAGTCAGAGTAATATGTACCTTTGTCTCATTTCTTTCGTGTTTCTGTCAGCTTAGTGAACTCATGTTTAGTGGGAAGGTCCATGTAAGACTCCTATAATTTTTATGACGTCTATCTCTGGTAGATTTGTCTGAGTCATCCCAATTTCTGTGTTATAACCTTCTATATAACTACGCAGTACTATTCAAATCTGTGGTTGAAGGATGCTCAAAGCTGTTAGCTTTTTATAGGAAAAACTAAAAGATCTGAAACTGCTCCAAAGACTTTTGGGTCAAAAAAAAAAAAAAAATCTGTGGTTTAGAATCTGGCTTCTTGGTGTGAAGTTCAGTGAGCAGTGAAAGAGCAGGAAGAAGGTGAGCAATAATAGGGATCTGCAGCATGAAGGCTAGAGCCTAAGATGTTGTTCTGTGTAAATGATTTTTGCTTTAGAAGTGAGAAAAGCTAAATTTTGCTGGAAACAGAAGCAGAGGATGGCTGTGTTTGTTAAAACAGCTATTCTAGGGTTTGTCAGACCTAGTGCTTCAGAGACAGGTGCTGCAAATCATGCGGGCAGTACTAGGAGCTGGGATTGTCAGAGTTGTTTTGTTTCCAAGTTCTAAACCAGCTCCCTCTGTGGAAGAGGAGTGCTTTAGTTTCATTAACTGTGTAAACTTGAGGCATAATCATTACAGGATTTTAGATTAGTATTTGCAATGCAATCTTAGTGTCAAATAATAAATCCGAATAAACTAGAACAGACAGTCTCCATACTGGGGGGTCTAAACCGGAGTCAGATCCATGCTGTTCTCACCAAGGGTAACTGGGAGATTAAGCTCAGTAGAGAAGGACTCGAGAAGTAGACCAGTAGTTCTCAATACTAGACTTGTCTAGCAAACCTGTTTGTATCGTGTTTAGCGACTGCTGATCCCCTTTTGTACGGTTTGCTTTTATGAAGTAGCAAACAAACAAAGAAGTGCTGAAAGCTTGTGAAGTACGTGACTGAAACTGGGACAAAAAGAGTTTTCCCATCCTTTCTAGTTTGAAGTTAATATACATAAAAAGAACAACATTCCTCAGTCCTGTGAAGAAGGCAGCGGTATCCATGCACGTGTGAACACCATGTTTCTTTTTTCACAGACAAATTCAATGCCAACAATATTTTATTTTAAAAAATACCTTTCTCCTTTATTGGCATTCTAAGGTATCCAAATAATGATGCCAAAGCTAACAGACTGTACTGAGTGTCTGTCGTGGGTAAACTGTATAGTAATAAGGGGCCCCTTCTGTATCCCAGTTGTACAGACTCTTTCCTCTTATCCCAGCTTATGGATGCTTTCTGATTAGCCTGTCATTCATCAGTAAAGAAAGTATTGGTTTTATTTTCTGAATGTGTCAAAGTACCAGACTGTTAAATTATTAAGAGGTCCAGAAGAGTTCCAGTTCTGTCAGAGGTCTGATGGTAATTTGGTAATAGCTCAGCCTTGAATCAATTCTTCCTTCCTTCTCTTCTCCTATCTTTGATTTGGAAAAGGAATGTACCCGTTTCCTAGCGTTTCAAGCATAGACACTTTCCTATTCATACCACATCATGCAATGCAAGTCAAAAGCAGTGTTCAACAGAAGTTGTTTGTATGCAGGAGATATATCTGTGTAGTTCCTGTCTTCTAAAGTGGATGGGCCTCAAGCCTGCTGTCACCAATTCAGAGGTTTGGAAGTAAAGATAACTTTTATTTAAAAAAAAAAAAAAAGTTGCTAAGCATTCTGGCAGCGCTTGTGTTTTTTCCACTCACTTCCTTTGATATACATTGATTTAGTGCCGACTTCCTTTTCCTGCCCAGTGGTGGTGGCCTTTCCACAATAGCAGCTGGGCTGGTGCCAGGAGGACTTGGGCTCCCTTCGGCCAGCCATGGCATTGTTTAAAGAGTGAAAGTGTGCTCCCGTGACTCGGTGCAGACCCAAAGCACGCTCTCTTGTTTATCTCCACGCCTGTTGGCTTGTAATGTCACGTGAGCCCCACAGAGCTACTTGGGAAATCAGATGATAGCTCTAAGCAGTAGATTATTTTTTTTGCATGTAGTTCACCCCGCCATGCGCTCTAAGCCATGCCAGTGTTGGCCTTTTTTTTCTCCTTCTGCAGTCTTCTGAAAGGTGTGTGCATTGGTTTGCAGTTAGCTTCTGCCGATGTTTGCCTTCAGTCTTTATTACAATAACTTCTGTAGAAAATATTTTCCTTGGGAGAGTATTTGCTGATCTTCACCCATCTTTCATAGCACCTGAGTACACACAGTTAATTAAAGACAGCATCATGAAGAGCACAGCTTGAGAGCTGATCTTAAAACGCTGTCTCTGACTTCGTGGGTGACCTTGAGTAGATTGGCTGGACCACAGCATTTCTTGGAGCTCACAGCTTTACTTGGTGGGAGCTGCAGGTGGATAGGTCACTGGAAAAAGGGGGGTTGTATCTTCCTGTTTCTAAAGGATCATCATCTTTGAGATATGCAAGGAAAAAAAATAAATCCTAGGGGTGAAGTTTCTCTCGGTAGGTGGCACAACAGAAACTCTTTAGGTAGTACCATTAACAGATGAGTAAAATGTTTTTCTTATCCTTTGGTCCCTAAACATACTCTCTGTCCATCTAGCTATCTCATCTAATGCACAGAAATGGCAGAATTGACCTCCATGTGGTTTTGCCCAACCTAGTCATATAGTTTCTTTTTTCACGCAGAAAAACAGAAATTTAGAAAGGTCACAGGGCTCCCATGTGATACTGAAACGGCTCGGTGTCAGTATAACTAGCTCAGCTGATGATGACTAGCAGGGATCGTGCTGTCACTCAAGGTAAATGATACTAGTTGAGGCAAATTTATAATCAAGACAGAAGATCAGTTGCCCTGGCAAGTGTTCTGTTCAGTGGAGATTAGCAGTGAAGTGAAGTTTATGCGCAAAAACCAGGGATTCCCGGCGTCCTCTGCCTTGCCCGAGATACTGAAGTTATGCTCAGAAGGCTGAGCAGAAGAGGTGAGAAATAGGTAACTGCTCTGTTAGGAGCTTTACCAATAATCTTGTAGTGTCTAAAATGACAGTACAGGTGCTTGTTGAACAATTTGCTTTCTGACATGGCACCTCCTGGTTCCATTTCTGTCCAGACTGTAAGGTTCACTCCAGAGCTGCTGTGATCATAGAGGTCTAGCATTAGAGGTGAATATTTGGATTTTGTGTGCATGTATGTGCAGTCTAATTTCAGTAAGTAAATGTCCTTCTTTCTGGCCCAGGTTCCCAGAACACAGGCCGAAGTTCACCACCTCCTGGGTATGTTCCAGAGAGGCAACAGCGCATTGCTCGGCAGGGTTCCTACACCAGCATAAATAGCGAAGGCGAATTCATCCCAGAAACTAATGAACAGTGTGTAAGTATGAACATTAGGGTGAAAAAAAAAAAAAGTAAGGTTAAGGAACTTGCTGCTACTCTCTGGGCCCTCTTTTTCACTGCAGAATATTCACTAGCTGTAGTTGCGTTACCACCTACTAGTGCTGCTTTGTTCATCTGAACTATGCTTCGAACTTGCTTGTAGTTGTGCAAGTTCAAAGCCTTTGTTGGATTGCCAGAAGCGGTCACCATGCCTGCTGGCATTGTCTCTCCACCTCTGAAGGAGCAGTTTTGGTGTGCTACACATGTATGCTCAGGTTTCCTATTACCAGGTTCACGTGACCCTCGTGCATTTGAAACTGCGCTCTCCATTTGAAAAAGTAGGAAGCAAGGCCAAGGGCGACTTGCAGGTGGAGGCAGCAATGCAGTAGCACCAGCAGAGACTGTTCCTGAAGTCACTTGGGATCAAAATGCAGCACAAGGCTGACTTAAACTTTCATTTTCACAGCTGACTCCTTCGACAGCTAAAGCAATGGCTCAGAGTTTTTATGTCCTTATTTCTGTGGGAGATAAAGGAAAAACGTACATTCTAAATAGCTTTAGACTCCCCTTTTCATCTGGATGTCCTCCAGGCAAGCCCTAGTGGACTCTGATCCTCTTGCACAGCCTCTTTCAGCCATTACACAGAACTGATGTTGCCATGTGATTTTTGTGTTGCAGATGCTGGACCCTTTAAGCAGTGCTGAAAACTCGGTGTCAGGAAGCTGTCAGTCCTTGGACAGGTCAGCAGACAGGTACAAATGTACAAGCTGGTAGAAACTTGTGTGCTCAAATCGAAATGCCAGTTGTACTTACGCAAAAGTCTGGTTTCCATCTCATAAATTTTCTTGGAGAGAAATAGGAACTTATTTCCTACCTATATCCCAATATATTTCTTAGAAAGAATTCACTACGTCTTAAGGCTGGTTTATTTTCTGGCAAAACCCTACACCGACAAACTGGTGCTTCAGTAGCTCTGTGTTATGAATACAAAGTTCTAAAGCATGCCATCTGTGTGGAGCCTAGACTCCAAGAACATCTGGCTGCAGGGTATTTAGATCTCTTTCAGGCATGTAAATCTCTTTTTGTTCATTAAAAAAAAAAAACCAAGCTAACAACGTATTCTAAGGTTACAGAAATATATCATTACACTAGATTCCTATGTCCTGCAAGATATAGTATTAATTCCAAAGGTAAACAGGGGGGCTCTTCCTTTGATGAAGAGTTTGTCATAGTCTGATGCTCTAGATCTTTTTCTTCCCATTCTTTGCTGTTGGTGTCGCTTGAGATATTGGTGGGCAGCCGTAGGTCCTATTAACTTCAATAGCAACTGTGGCTTCTCAACACCTGTAATACCAGGCTTCAGCATGCTTTTAAGATTCCTCCAAGCTGATTCCTGTAGGTAGTGTATGCTTTTATGTCAAGCACTTGAGGCTTGGTTTTGGAGCCATTCACTTCCTCCAGTTTATGGAGTTACAAGGGAGCACTTACAGTTAACCCGTGTGTATGCATGCATTCGTTTATTTGGGAGTGGGGATGTTGCTAATTTGTTTCCTGTCCTTCTCTGCCTTTTACCTGCCCTAAGTGGAGGATGAGAAAAACCATCGCCTTCCTGGTTATTCCTTGTAGGAATGGGCATCATCTGGGGAAGCTGTTGTCCTTTGTGCAGTAGGAAAGGAATCTCATTTGGGAGTCTGAAAGCTGCATTACTGTATCAGACTCACTCCATTTACACTGGTTAACAAAAAAAAAAGTGCAAATAACATGGCTTTGGCACAGATTGAGTTTTTGTAATCTCTTAAGAGATGTTAAAGGCCTTCTGCCAAACAGAGGCCCATACTTAGGCTTGCTTGAGGAGCCCTGCTTACTGGGGAGAAGGGTTGTAAGGAGTGCTTGTGTTTAGGCTCATCTGTTTCTTGTAGAGAGGAAAGTGCACAGAAGTTTTAATGAGAGGAACTCTTACCCCTCATGGTAAATCACTGGGGGCAGTGGTCCCTGTCCTTCACTGCCCTGTGAGCAGTGTGCTGCAAGCGGTACCCTGTTCTGCTCTGCCTCTTAGCCTCGGTTTTAACCTTCTGTTTCACGTGACTTGAAGGAAGCACTGGGCCTCAAACCACAGGCTGGGGAACTGCTGAATAAATGGCACAGACTGAACAGAAAGGATGACTGCCCACATCGGGAAATAGTCTGGTTAGCTGGGGCTTAGCCTGACTTCAGCTTTGCAGATGTAGTGTGAAATTATTGCAGGGACACAGACTTGAAAATCACCGTTACTGATGTGCAAATGTATTAACTTGTATTTAAAGTCCTGGTAGGTTTCTCTCCAGTAGATAGCAAAACTTATTCTTGCCTTCTTTCTTTAATAGCCCTTCTTTTCGGAAATCACGGATGTCAAGGGCACAAAGCTTTCCTGATAACAGACAGGAGTTCTCAGGTATGTCAGTGTCCAGTATAAAAATTATTTGATCTAGACATTTTCTGCTGTTTGCTGGCTACCTTATATGTTTGCTGGGATTATATAAATGGAAGAACTGGGGATATGTTGATTGAAAAGCAATGAAGTCATTTATTACTTACCTCTTCCTAAAAAAAAAAACCTGCTGTTATGGGAAAACTCTTGTCATTAGAACGTGTACTTTTTGAAGGAGCCTCACTTCTATCTTTGCATCTCCTTCCAGACCGTGAGAATCAGATCTATGACAAAGCAGGGAAAGGTGGGACCTACCCTCGGCGCTACAACGTCTCCATGCAGCACAAAGACTACAACGATGGTGAGGTGTTTTTCTGACCTTTGATTCCAGTCCTGAAAAAGAAGGTGAGGCAATGGCAACCTCCAGGGGCAAGTGTAACTCCTAGTTGAGGAGTCTGGAAGTGCCCTGGTCCTTGCAGTTAGTGCTGGAGTTAATGCTACCATGCGTGGTGTCACATTTTCATAGCAACCCACGATGGCCATTTGTAATTCTTTGTTTACTTTGCCCTTTCTGGGGATATCCAGGCTGATCAGTGACTGCTAGGGTTGAGCAGTGGACATAGCTGTTAGCGTTGGTCATATGTAGTGGGTTCCTACCTCAGGGATTCATTATGCTTTGCTAATTTGCAATGCAAACTTCCTTCTGGGTCTTTTAAATATACTGGTGACTTTAAGAATCACATCTCTGCTCATCATATGGCTTTATGCAAATTAATTTCTCCAAGTTTCATAAGAGGTGTGTGTTGTCATAATCTTTGTTTATGGTTTTTATTTGCAAGTCCAGGCACGTTATCTAGAAAGTCATTTTGTCTGCGTAGTTGTTAACAAGCCTCGGAGCCTGTGTGGTAGCCTGTAAATCAGATTTTTGCTTTGGAAGGCAAGCTTAGATCTTGCACTACTGCAGTGAGGGCATTACAAAGTGTTCTTTCCCTTCTGCTTTGGGAATGATCCAAAGCTGTACTGAACTCAAGCAGCATCAGCCCTGAACTGTTATATTTTTGCATCCTGTCTCTTGGGCAGTAGATTCTACTCCATGGGAACAGACCAGAACACGTTTTTTTCTCTCCCTTCTCTTTGTTGCTCAACCTCCAGCCATTACCTTCCACTTGTAAGCAACTTATTTCAAAATTTTACTTCTTTCTCCAGGCCGGAGGACATTTCCCCGGATACGGCGTCACCAAGGGAATCTTTTCACCTTGGTCCCTTCAAGTCGTTCCTTAAGCACCAACGGAGAAAACCTGGGCCTGGCGTTGCAGTACCTGGACCCCCGGGGGCGCCTGCGGAGTGCCGACAGCGAAAATGCCCTTGGTGTGCAGGAGAGGAACATTCCCACCAAATGTAAGCAGTTGCCCTGATGATAACTGGGGAAAGGCCTCCTGGAGTTATGGGCAAGAAGGCCTTTTAGAGACTAACTCCAGACCCAATATATTACCATAGTTTGATTTTTAACAAGCCATTCAAAACCACATAATTACATGGCTTTGTTTTGAGACCGGTCTGTATCACCTATAAGACAGGTCCTCTTTTTCTTCGAAGAATATGTAGTCTTGCACTGGGAGCTGGCCTTTCCTTTAGAAAGCATTGGAAATTCAGCAAAGAAGTCAAAAAAAAAAAAAAGTTCATTGGATCTAAATGATCTGTGGGGTTCTTAAGTGTCAGACAAGCTTGTTTATTTTCTTGATACGTTAACGTTTGTAGTCAGGCTTGTGGATTACAGTTATTTTACTAGTTAAGGGCTGTGTTTATTTCACTTGCTCCTTAGTAGAAAGATTTACTTCTGTATTAATAGCATAAAAAAAAAGAAGTCAAAAAAAAAAAAAAAGTTCATTGGATCTAAATGATCTGTGGGGTTCTTAAGTGTCAGACAAGCTTGTTTATTTTCTTGATACGTTAACGTTTGTAGTCAGGCTTGTGGATTACAGTTATTTTACTAGTTAAGGGCTGTGTTTATTTCACTTGCTCCTTAGTAGAAAGATTTACTTCTGTATTAATAGCATTCCTGAGTTGTTTTTTGGGGAACTTTATAATATAAAAAAAAAAGAGATGGAACATAAATCATTACTGATGAACTTCAGATATCCCATAGAGTAATTTAAGGATCAAAAATGAAGACATTAATGCAGCAAAGTAAACAACACACTAGAACACCGACTGGCAGTAAATCTGAGTAAATTAGACATGGCAAAGCTAATCTCTCAGCTCTTCTGCATTTTCACACTGTTCAGATGGCTGGTTCCTGTCTTTGTTTTTAGAGTTTCTTGTTAGATACAACATAATTGGATGCATTGCACTGCATGAGTCTGGTAGTGTCATTTTCAAAGTTCGAGCTAAAGCGCTGGTCTTTGAGTAATATGCTTTGGTATTAAGTGCAGCCTGGAAAACTGGGCTCAGGTGTTAATCTGCAGGTCAGGAGACTGCTGCTTGTGCAGTGCTCTCACCAGTGCAGTAGAACAATGTTCGTAGTTCCCTGCTGATGATCATTTTAATGGTACACCAGTCAGCAGGTCCTGAGAGTCTGAATGATTGGATTCTGTTCAGGGTTCTGCCACTAACTCCCTTGTACTGGGAGAGTGCCTCATGTCTGTTGCTTTAATTGCAAAGTACCTGTTTCAATCCCAGTATGATGGTGATTTATCTTTGAAAAGATCACCATTATCTTTAAATAGTATAATGAAAAGAGAAATTATTACTGTTCTTTTTTAGCTCCGAGTGCTCCAATTAACTGGCGACGAGGGAAACTGCTGGGCCAGGGTGCCTTTGGTCGTGTGTATTTGTGCTATGATGTGGACACGGGCAGAGAGCTTGCAGCTAAGCAGGTCCAGTTTGACCCAGAGAGTCCTGAAACAAGCAAGGTAATTCTCATTGCAGCTTCTAAAATTCGTGATGCAGATTGAGATCCTGTAAAGTGCCTGTATCTGTCTGTCCTCGAAAGCTGGCATCTTATTTCATTTGTACTAGGGTTTCAAGTCATGTGGAGAGGAATAGAAGTCATTTAAAAACTACTTTTCCATATTATTAACTTCAGCCTGAAACTAAAATCCATTTTCTGGCTTCATTTTTGGCTCTCCCTTCTCAGCTTTTTGGTTAGTTGCCAGGTTACTTGAGGAATACTAGACTGCCCTGTGTTCCTGGTTAGACATGGATGTGAATGAAACTAAACCCAGAAAAAGCAGGACTTTTTTCTTTTTTTTAAACAAAAAAGCTGCAGGCACTTGCAAAACCCACTTTCTGGGCTTATATGGTAGGCCCGTATCAAGTGTATTAATTACCGGTTTCTGCTTCTGAATTCTCTCTGTCCTCAAAACAAACTGAACTGTGGTGTGTAAATTAATCAAGGACAGTGGTGTGACAACGCATTAGAAACAGCGGAGGTGGGAAGGGGCACCTTGAAATTAGAGGATAGTATGCGCCTCCCTGCACAGTGGATGCAGGTGGAATGGCTGTTAGGTTCTTTGCTAGTGTTATAACAACGTGCCAGTTTCCCAATGTTGAACAAATTCACTTTGAGCTGGAATAACTGATCCGTGAAGATTCAATTATTCTGATTTTATATGGGATATTGGTGCCAAGATAAGTCCTAACTTGGTAAGTTGTAAGTTATACCATGTCTCTGTCATAAATCAGACAGTAACTCTAAGCTAAGGAAGAACAGGCTGGAATGTATTTTTGGTTCCACGCATCTCTGCAGCAGCCAGGTCCTTGCTCTTGAAGAGCTGCATCCTCTCCCAAAGCGAGAGAAGTGAACCTGGCACCTTCCAGTGGCAGGAGTGGAGGGAGTTAAGTGGGACTAATGTTGGGGAAACCACCATTCCTTTTTCCATAAATCCTCATGCTTCGGTGCCTTTGATGTTCATCCTGTTCATTCCCTGGATTCAGCAAGAACCTGATACTTTTCCTGGGCAACAAACATCTCTGATTCAGTCTGAAATTGTTGGATAGCCTTTTTGCCTTTGCACTATGATACCCTGTTGTCTGCGGCAGGAATAAAGCAGAGAATCAGTTTCGTGTGCGTAGCTGCAGAGTCTTTGAAGTAAATAAGAGAGGAAGCCGTTTCTAAGGTTGATTCAAATAAAATTATCAGTGTGAATCAGAATCAGGACTGGGTGACTAAAGAACTTAGAAACTCTTAGCACCTGTAGTCTTGCTCTCTAATGGGTTGAGGGTCCTACTGAAAGATTCCTAGGAATTCTGCAACTGTGTATTCAGAGCTTTTTCATAATTGAAATTAACGCTCACTGCCCTCAGCTTAGTGGTGAGAAGTAAGGTGGTATCTCTGTGCGTGAAGAATGCTTTCAACCAACTTGGCTAAAGCCATTCAGCTGACAGAATCAAGACAAGAAACAAAGTTTTTCTGGTACTAAATCCATATATGGCATTGCCTGTGTTCTAACTGTCAAAAGTGCTGCACCAATACTTCCCTATTTATTATACAGTAAGGATTAATATGAAGCATTGGTAACATTTGCCTTTCCCAAGAGACAGGTGAGCCAATGGCATGGATTAGACTTCTTCAGTGTAGTAGTGGCCTCATCCTTCAGCAGCATGGACAGATTTATTAGGATGGAATGTTTCCTGGGGCCGGAACCTTATTTTCTCCTTCAACATCCATAGGAAGTGAGTGCCCTGGAGTGTGAAATTCAGCTGCTGAAGAATCTCCAGCACGAACGTATTGTTCAGTATTACGGCTGCTTACGGGATCGAGCAGAGAAGACCTTGACCATCTTCATGGAGTACATGCCAGGGGTAAGAGCTGACATGAGCAGCACAGTTGCAGATCATAAAGTGAGATGGGTGGTTTTGTGAGTTGGTTTATTAGTTGTTGTAATTACCCTAACTATGTAATCCACCTTATGCCCTCTTAGGTGTGCCCCTTTCTCATATTGGCTTTATAATACCACCACATTCTTTTTATTTATGCCTAAACCACGTCTTTCGTTTTTTTCTTAGTGTCTTGTACTTGAAATACATTCTTTTCTTCAGTCTAAATTTGTTCTGACAATGTACTTCAGAGGACTTGGGCCAACTTGTAAATTGGGCTAACTGAATTAGCAGTCGTATAGTACAGCAAATTAGGCTAAAACTGACCCTGCAAAAAGGGAGACTTTTGACCTGGATCAGTGTGCTGAACTATTTTATTGCTTGTCTTCACAAACAGTTGTACCAGCACAGCTCAAGGATGGAGGAAGCAGACAGAACCTCCTTAAGCTATTTTTGCCGTAGAGCGTGTCCTTGCTGTTCTTAAAAGGGGCTTCCGAGGGCAAGATGCTGTGAGAGCCTCACAGAAGGGCTTTAGAAGAGGCCAGAATTCATTATTGTGCCGGTTGGGGGTATACACAGCCACAGCTCGTGGGAATTGAATGGAGGCTGCAAGATTTGTGGTTTGTCATTTCTTAGCCAATCCCTTCTGTTTGCTTTTGGTGCAGGGGTCAGTGAAAGACCAGCTGAAGGCGTATGGTGCTCTCACGGAAAACGTAACCCGGAAATACACTCGCCAGATTCTTGAGGGAGTCTCGTACCTTCACAGCAACATGATCGTGCACAGGGACATAAAGGGTGAGATCAGCTGGTGATTTATGTGTATGCCACGTGCTAAAGGAACTCTGAAAATAGAAGCCAAGGGTTAAGAATTCTGTATCCTGACTGGGGCTTCTGAATATTGCTTTGCTCAATTATCCCTTTTTGGTCTGACATCTGTGTGCAGGGCTTAGGGAAGGTTGTGTTCTGGGCTGGGTAAGGGAAGTTGGGCTGCTCTCTCTACAGGACCAAGCACAGCAGTTGGTTATAGTAAGGAAGACTGGAAGCCTCTAATTCTTAGGAACACTCCTCTGTAACTCCTCATCTTTCTCTCACACCCCAGCAAAATGAGGCTGAGTTGCCACCTGACTTTCACTGCACCCATGAGGCACGCTCATTTCCCTGTGGATTCCCTTCTGACTTCCTCTCTGCTTGCCCGAAGTAGCATTTCTCAGCTGGTAGGCATACCAGTTGCCATAAGAGCTCCATGCCTGCTCTTGACAGTCCTGCCTGCCTGAGGCTCTTGTGACTGCCCTGCCTGCTCTGTGTAAGAAAGAAACCTCTCATCTTCTGTGTACAGCCTCTGATTAGTCCTTAATCTTCCTCTTCCCAACATAACCCCATGGAGCCAGCCAGTCTCCTTAAGAGTTAATGTCAACAGATGCGGCAGACACCACACAAAGTTTTCTGTGCTCTAGAGAGACCAGGAGGGTTGCTTGCTGTCAGAAAAGTATCCTCTTGTTTCTGCCTGTAAATCTTCATTGCAGCCCCTCTAGGCTGGCAAAGGGAAATGAGCTGCTGATTCTTGAATAACACCTTGTATACTGCGCATGTGGTGCTCTTTGCCCAATGATTTCCTACCTGGTGGGTTATTCAGTAGTTTGCACCCATCTTCTAAGTCAAACTGTTAACTTGCCTCCACGGTGCTGGGTGGACACACTTGTTCTGAATTCAGCTCTTCCAGCGGGGACGTGATAAAGCTATCTCCCAGCACAAGTGCATTTTATTTGAGGGCAGAAGGAGTTCACATAGGCACGTACCAGATAATGGCAACACAGGGTTCTTGATCTTATTGCAGCTTTGGAGGAAGAATTGTTTTTGGTGTCTAAGCCTTAGTTTGTGTCCACATACAAGCTAAGCTCTTAAGTTTGCTTTTTTCCCTGGTGTTTCACATTCAGGACCTCTGACCAAGTAAAGTGGAGATTGACTTGTTTATTGTAGGAGTTCAAAGTGGTTTAATTAGCTACATCTGTTACCCAGCTGACCAGAAAGCAGTGGTTATACTCACCAAAGCAGCATCCCAATAAAGTCCTTTTCTGCACAGCTATGTACTATCTAAGCTGCTGGCCTGGGGGCCCTGCATAGGCTGTCTGAGCTGTTTACAGGCAATGTAACAATGATGGTGCTGACTCAGCTCTCGTTTCCCTTCCCCCTTCACTTCCTTGTGTTTTTCGCCTGAAGTTTATCCCATTTGCAGCCATTAGCAATTGGCTTGTCTACAGCCTGAAATAAAGAAATGATGTTTAGCAGGTCACCTGAGGCTTAATGGGGAAGAAGCCATACCATGAGCCTGGGTATTTCTGGGTTGGATATCAGCTCTGTAGGCTGCAGATCTGACAGCTGGATTGCATGAAAACAGCTGTCTCAATTCTTTGTTTTTTGTCCAGGAGCCAATATTCTCCGTGACTCTGCTGGGAATGTGAAGCTTGGGGACTTTGGGGCCAGCAAACGGCTGCAGACAATCTGTATGTCTGGAACAGGCATCCGCTCTGTCACTGGCACGCCATATTGGATGAGCCCAGAGGTGATCAGCGGAGAAGGCTATGGAAGAAAAGCAGACGTATGGTGAGGCTTTAACTTTCTGTCCATAGATCAACTTACAGCTTTTCTGGAGCAAGATAAGACACATACATTCTGTCGTCCATATATTCAAAATCAGATTTTGTCTGGATCAAAAGTTTAGGGCGAACTGAAGTAGTTGATTTGAACTCAAGACATGACCTGCTGCAGGCTGTGCTTTGCAGTGTCAACACACAACTGCTTGTTTAGTTTTTCAGGAACAATTTCCACTCGTTCCTCCCCTGAACTGATAGCTGATTTTCTATTTTCTGACTCTTTCTGGTGTGAGGTTTCCATCCTTCTTCTATTCCTTATAAGAGAGAATGAGGTTGTTTAGGGAGCCTCCATTCACTTTGTTATAAAATGAGAGGTACGCTTATAACACTGTGGAAATGAAAGGAACAGAATTTGAGTATGTTGACAGAGCTTTAAAGGAAAGATGCCCAAACCTGGAATAACACAAAAGATACAGGTCAGATCAGAGGTGATCTGAAGTATGCATGAATGGAAACTGTAGCCGTGCTATTATTGGCATAGCCAAGAAACAGCCTCTATCGAACAGAAAAAGCAAAATGGTCCTGTCTCAAAATGTTAGTTTGGGAGGCCTTAAAAAGGTGAGATTATAAAACTAAAGTAAATGACAGCGACAAGAGGTGTGTTTGTGTCTCCACAGTAAAGCAAGGCCTGTGCTGTTCCCTGTAAAGGCAGTGAGTGGAGACATAGCTGAAATTTGTCTCGTATGCAAAGAGTTAAGTTCTGCAGACTCTCCCGGTTGGGATGCTTGGGGAGAAAATGGAGCACGTGCCCTTCCCCCTGGGCTGATGCAGTTGTGGATTTCCTCTTGGTGCTGACATCGGTCCATTCCCATCAAAGAGACACTGCTGTTGGCTGGGCTCCAGTTCCTACAATCCCGATCGTTATTTAGGGGGGTCAGAATTTTCCAGTGCAGCGTTAGTCCCAGGGTGGGTGCGTATGGCCGAGAGGCTCAAAGACATAACAAATCTAGCCACCTGGCTTTCCGCCACTGCTGCAGGCCCCTCTCCATTTTTCTTTTTCCTAAATAGCAGAATATGTGAGCTATTTGTTATTGCTGGAGGGACTTGACATGAAAAACATTCC